ATTCATATAATAAAATATTTTACCCTCAATGGTCACCAGTTCGAGTCCCCTCAGGACCACTAAGATGATTACCCGATCGTAAACTTCAGGGTCCCATGAAATTAGTTAAGGTACGCGAAAGCTGACTTAAACATTCTCGGTTATCAAAAAAATAATAATAAAATAAAATATTTTACACGTTCTCCAAAATTTTTCCTACTTTTTAATCACACATTCTCCTTAAAATACTATTTCAAAACTCATTTTTTTTTCCAACAAATAAGAATCAAACATGCACTAAATAGAATTGTACTATAAATTGAACTCTTAAAGCCTAGAATTCAGCTATTTATTCAAAAATATTTTGACATATTCTTTGATGGATGCTAAGATGGTTCAAATCAAGGCCAAACGCATGCTATCTCAGCATCTGTCAAAAAATTTGTAAAGAAAATTGTACAAGTAGTATGATTGTAAGGCCAATTGTACGTGGGGATTTTGAAGGGCCTGTCGAGATATTCCATTTTAATGCGCGAACTTGAATTAGTACAGTGGTAAGTACGAACAAATATGCGTGTTTAAGGCAGAGGATTAGATATGGTTTGGTGAACAAATACTTGTTCCACATTCGTTCAAATGTCAATTTTATTTTGCATTCACACTCATTTAAAGGATAGTTGGTCGTTGGGGTGGGTGGGTGATCAATTGTGTTTTTATTCGAGGGGCTTTTAATTTGGCAAACATCCAAGTTTGACTGAGTGCACTCAGATCAACATCACTATAATTTTTCCAAGATGAAGACAAGTAATAAAAATAGGTGGACCTCAATTATCAAATTGAAGACTAGCGCCGAGGAATAATGCTATTCATCTCCACTGAATTGAGTCACAGTCTATGTGACAATTACATATCATTAAATGAGAGATTCATTTAAATACAAAGTCACGTGACTCATTTAATTGAATCTATCATTTAATGTCATGTAATTACCATATAGACTGATGCTCAACCCCAGTGGAGATGAATAACATTACTCAAAGTTGAGGTCCAAATTCTTGCACTTGTTGGACTTTAATTTTGTAACCTCGATGCTACGATAGCGATGTGACTCTTCAAAAAGGACTTGTTTACACTAGAGACATTCTATTAATTGATTGTTAGATGAAAGTACGTGGTTAGATAATGAATCGAGGATAAATAAAAGAATGCAAATTTAGATGAGACTAGACCATATCTTCAAATAAAAAAGAATTTACCCCGTGCAAAGACATGGAATTCAAAGTCTAAAAGATAAAGGCAAAATTTATATCTCATGTTACTTTATCACAACTCAAAATTTCACACGTCTTGTGATATACTTGTAATAGCCTTCGTCTGAAACAAATTCATTAGTTGGGGGACAACGTCGAGACTAATCAAGTCCAATTGAAAAATCTCACATCTCATCGAACTTTTCATGCTTCGAAAAATGAATCTTTTTGTTCTCTCCCAATTGGATCTCCTTTAGGATCAAATAATTCCATGAAATTGAGTTCATGGATTTCCCTAGAAATACGAGTGATTTGGAAGAGATCTCTCTATTAGTGCCCATTTTGGAAATAGCCAAAAGCATCAGCCGCATAATCACTAGATTAAGGATAGAAGGGCCGAGAGCTAAGATTAAGCTCATATGTTGCTAATTGTGATCGATCAACCTCGATGCTTGAACTTCTTGCAATAGAAGTTTCTTGGTTGACGAAACACAAATAGCTCTCTCGATCGCAAAATTGGGGAACCATCCATGAACTTTCAGCAATATGCACGTCTGTCCTACATTTTCTGATAATTGCAAGTCTGATCCTGAAGTTTCCTGATTATGCAAGTCCATCATTGAGGTTCCAGCATTCTGCATATTAGTCCCTCAACTTTTTGAATGGTTAAATTCGGTCCTTGAGCTTTCTGATTGGCACGAATTAGTCCTTGAAGTTTTTGATTGTTGCTAAACATTACTGAATTTTCTGAATTATGCAAAACAGCCCCTGAATTTTCGGATTGTTGTCATTCGACCTTTCTTTTTTGAAATTTTCACTTTGACCCCCCTGAAATTACTGAGTTGCATAAATCATTTCCTGAATAACATTAATCTTGTATTATAGAAAATGACTTCGAAAGCGTTGAGAAATTTCTCTTATTTCTCTTCAAGATAAAATTATATCATTTCTTGCACAGCATTATTTTTAAAAGAAAAATTTTAGCATTATATTTAGCAAATAAAAATTCAAAAATTGCGAAAGGTCGATAACAATCGGACTATTAGAAATATTATCTAAAATGCAGTTGGCAAATAATTAATAAAACTTTTAGTTATATTATGAACGAGTTTGAGGGGCTTCAGACAATATTAGATAGGAGAAATGATATTCATCAACAATAGTGACGAACAACAGTCTATGTAGTGTTGATTCATTGTTTCATTCTCCTATGAAGTGAGACGTAATTTTTATATATTGGACAATTTTGTTAAGAATTGAGATTCAATCTTAAAAGATCAACCTTATTAAGAGGAGTAACTCAATACTTTATCAGTTGATTTATGCTTACATCTTTATTCGATATGGGATTCTATCTCTTAACACGCCCCCGCAAAATGATGGCTCATTTGAGCAAACCAATCTTGAAATCTGTATACTCACTTTTGGAGTGTTAACCGGATCGAATTGCTCGTTAAAGTTTAATGAGCTCTGATGCCATTTTAAGAATTGAGGTTCTATCTTAAAAGATCAACCTTACTAAGAGGAGTAACTCAATCATTTATAAATTGGTTTATGCTTACATCTTTATTCGATGTGAGATTCTATCCCTTGACAAATTTGACAATTGCCCAACAGCCACATCGGTGAATATGTGAATCCTAACATTTTTCACATTAATTTGTTTTCTTCATCAGAACATTTTTATGAAAATCACAACATTAAATTGATTCTTGCTTTCATTCAAATAGGCATAATTAGACCGATAATTAGATAGTATCGTCTTCATGGAACAATACTCTATTCATCAGTATATTGATTATTTATTGACGTTATACCTTTGCAATTTTTACAGAAAAGCTAGAAAGACAAGAAACGCCAAAAAGTTCGAAACATCTTGAATTAATCCATAAACAAAGGGAATAAAGGAGAATTATAGGAGCAGTTTCGAGTTTAAACTTGCAAGGAACAGGTGACGTTTTGTTAAGAAACCAAACTTTAGCTTAAAGGGTGAAGATGGCCACATCATTTCTTGGCGTGTTAGGATCTTCTATGAAGCATTTTTTAGCGTTTAGCAATGCAAGCATTCTATTCTGTACAAGTAATTAAAAAGCCAGTAATGGCTCCATTCTCCTTCACTTTAATGCATCAAATTTTGCACTCAAAAGAATTTTGTGAGCACAAAGTTTTATCATGGTTCCAAGGAATTCTACATCTTCATACAGACTGCGAAGCTTGGTTACTCTACTTAACCGGTACAGGGTTCTCTCTGTTGACTCGGGTTTACGACACCGCTGCTGTATGCAGCCATGTAACTTGGGATATTACTACTGTGGGGATCAAGGGCTAAAATTCATCAGTGCCAGCTCCACGGCATATAGTCAGCCCAAGTTGGAAATGTAAATCCCTTGAGGTTCTTCTGGTTTCATTGAGGTTGTTTTGTATTATCGTTTTACTCATGAAAATAAGTTGCATTTGTTTAAGGGTGAACAGTCAAGATGATCAGCTTGTACAGCCACCATCACCGGCTCCTTCAAATTCTGGCATCTCCAGTTGGTATGAACTTACCTCGAACTGACATAATAGTTATATAATTATTATAATTATTTGTTGTTCAAAATTTGAATTGAAATATGAATGAATTAATGATGAAATTGGAAGGTAATATTGGGTGATTTCTGCTTAAGCATGTGTAATCACGAGCCAAACGGTCTTTGTACACAAGAAGTTGTCTACAAGAAATTGAAACAATTTTGATTCTGCTATGCGTACGCATGGTTAAAAAATTTAGCCGTTGGGCTGATTTTTCATTTGAATTTTTTGTACCTTTTGGTGGAAAGTTCTCAACTTTTCACGAAATGTTTGGAGCATTTTCGTGATATAATGTTAGAAATCTATAAATAGGTGATAGATTTTCAATTTCAAACACAAAAAAACAACATAAGCTTTCATCATTCATTTCTAAAATTGGTTTTTCACATTCTAATACATATTCAAACCTTCTTTAAGTTTTTAATAAGTTCGACTAAAAAGAATCATTTTTGTTTTTGTGCTTCTTTTTTGAAAGCTCGTCAATCCTCTAAACTATTTGTTGGAAATCTTAAAAGCATATTAGAGGACGTAAATATCGTTTTTAGGATAACGTATCACATACGTGTTCAAGCCTTATTCTTCATTTCTTGTTTCCATCTCCTTTTCGATATTTCTAACAATAATCCCCTACTTACTTGGTCGTGGTGTAAAAGTTAAAGTTGTTACGAAGGAAACGACTTTATTTAATTAAAATTAATACGTCCATAATTTTTATACATAGCGGTCATGTTTTGATAAACATCAAACCCTCTCATTTGGTGCACTGCAGGGCGAAGTGGCTCTTGGGATCTGTATTGCCATTGATGCTATCTTTATGGAAGAATAACTGGAATGGTTTTTGGAGTTTAGAAGGTAACTGACGTAGCAAAAGTTTATAGCGTTTTTTCTATTGTAAGTGTACAAAATCGTAACAAGTAATATAGTGGACCTTTGAATCTGGATTATCATTCTCACGAGAACTATACTTTAAAACTTAATCAAATATTTCTAACTCCTATTTGATGAAAGCAAACAAAGAATTATAAGTTGTGAATTTTTGGTTTAAACACATGAAATTAATTAAAATGCACACAAAAATTGATTGTAAATTAAAATAATGAACGGATATTAGGGCCGAACAATCTCACATATTGATCACTTTTTAGTATTAATTCAATATTCAAGAGTCTATTGTATTCAATTTACTCCTCTCAAGTTCTTATTGAACATATTTAACTAATTTAATCACATATCTCTATGCAAATCAACATTAGTTAAACGAAGTGCCATAAAAAAAGGGAATCCATCCATGTACAGTTGGCGCTGCTATGCCCAGTTGTGGAGTTGCGGCGTCGTCGCACAACACAATGTGGCGCTGCGGCACCACACTTCTTTCCCCAATCTCGGCGCTGCAGCGCGTTGGTGTGCTCCCTTCGTGGCGCGAAGTCGCGGCGCCACTCTTCTTTCTTTGATATTGTGATTTGACTCTTTTGCCCCTTTCGTTCTCTTTTCTCCTTGATCCATATCAATAGCCTTGTTTTCTCTTTTCTTTCCTTGATTTACACCATCTCACCATTTCTACAAAATAACACTAATAAACATATTAAAAACGTTTTCTATTCGTACTTTCTAGCTCGTAATTAAGTTAAAAATGGAATAAAACTCATGAGTCGTCAGAAAGAGAAAAATGTGACATGAAAACCCAAACTCGATTTCTTTGAATGTTAGGTAAGACGGAAAAGGTTGTAAAAGAAGTGGAAGATGTGGCGGAGGTGATCGAAAAAGTAGCAACCACAGCGGATAAGACATTAGCCACCGTGGCGGATCGGCTTCCAGATGGAAGTAAACTCAAGGAAGCAGCTCTAATGGCCGAGAATGTATCAAGTATCACAGCAAAGGATGCTCTCTGTGTTCAAAATTTAATTCATAAGGTATCATTTTTTAATCATTTTAAAATCTTTATTTTTCCTTTATAGTTTCTATTTTGCAGTAATTTGAAATGTGTACGCATTATTAGGTTGAAGACTTGAAGCAAGATTTGGAGGACCTGGAGACAATGGTTGAACCTGTTGTTCATAAAATCATAGACAAAAAATAGTATAGAACAATTATTTTAATCTGGGATTTATTTCTGTAATACTTTTCTTCAATTTCAATAATTGTTACTGTTCTTTAGGGTTGGACACGGTCCGGTCCGGTTCGGTTCGGTTCTGAAGAGAACCGAATTGAACCAAATTTTTCGGGTATTTAGTAAGTGGACCCGTCAGGTCCAAATTTAATTATGGAACCATTTGGGTTTGGTTCCATTCAGTTCGGTCCCCGAGTTCCATACAATAATTAAATTTTTTATATTTACAACAACCCTACATTAATTCGACCATGACATGTTCAATATTAACTCTTAAAAAATAACATAGTCCAATCTGATGATATCTTTTGCACATCTATTTGTTGAGTTCTTCATAAATCTGACCGTTAAAATTACAAGAAAAGGAAGATAGTCAATTCATACTAATAAAACGGGAGAAACGAAATTACGGTAGAATAAAAGATTTGGATAAAACTTAAGTTCATTTTATTAAGTTGGGCTGGCTAAAAATTAGAAATAGTAAAATCATATTTTACATTTGAGCTAAATTAATTAGTTAACAAATTCATTTAGAAAAAAATAAAATAATTTGATTTATTTAAAATTAAAATTAAAAAAATTAGAGAGATTCGGTTCTTATTCGATTTTTCGATTTTTGGTCTAGAACCGAGAATCGAACCAAACCCGTCGGTTCTCGATTCAAATACCTATTTGGGTATTTAACTTAAGAAGAATCGCTCGGTTCGATTCAGTTCAGTTCATGAGTTTTGTCCAGCTCTACTGTTCTTGAAAAATAAAGAGAGGCGGAAATCTAAGTATAATATAATCTACGATAATTAATAAGACGAAACGTAAAATTTAAGTGCAATGTAATCTACAATATAAACTCCATATAAACTGTAGAATCAGTTTGTAAATAATAATCTCCTATAACAAAATATAAGTAAATATGCAACAAAAAAAAAATCACTAGAAGGAAAATCTTCAAGCGGTTGTTTAAGC